AGGGGGCGGGAAAGGAGGGAGAAGAGTTGGGTTCGAAGAGCGGGGAGGTACACGCGTCTTCTTACAGCTGAGGACACGTGATTGGGTGGAGAAGAGGGAGGCAAAAGAGGCGAGGGGCTCAAGGGCAGTGCTGTCAGGGGGGGGATGATGGGGGTCATAGGGAGGGAAGAAGAAAGTAGGCCAGAGATACGGCTCGTAGGGAAGCCCGAGGATAAAGAGAAAAGAGGGAGGGGCTGAGGTCTAGGCACGGGTTGAATAGGGCTAAGCCCAAGCCCAAGAGTCCCAACATCACAATTGTCGGCCAAGAAGTTGAGTTAAACAAGGAGAGGGGAGGGATCTGCTGACACGCGGCTCTGGTCTTGTCAAGCAAGTGACCGTTTGCACCAGGGGCTAGTCGAAAAATAGGCCGAAATCTCGAGCATGTCGGAAAGGCTGTGGCATTCCGCCATGAAGATCTTTTTCATCATCTTTGTCATTCGACCAGAGTCCACTGAGATGGTTCCTTACTGCGCTCCCGGGAGCAGGAAGGGCAGTGAAAGAAATGGCGAGAAGATGGAGATGCTGGGGACCAAGAAAGCGAGATCGGAAAGAAACGATCTTCAACCTCCAACTAAATTGTAGAAGGGATTTGGTAAGGGTTCAGGGGGCGGATCGACCCAAGAGGAAGGAATTCCAAGGATTCTAGAGAATTGAGACCAAATCCCCACATGTGGCAACTATATTTTTGAAGGTAGAACGAGACCAGGCATGTAGGGGGACCTGGTCGAGGGTGAGCCAGACTCTCTGTTTGGAGAAGGAACCGACTTTAGGAGAGCAGAGGAGAAGCTGAATGGTGGCTCCTTTAAAAGAGAGGGGTGGAGCTCGTTTAAAACGTGTTGAGCCAGTTGTGGAGACGGAAAGGAAAGGAGCACTTCCCCTCCCAAGAGTCGCCTGCAAGAAAGGTTAGGTTCCTTCCAGGTGATCTGAGCGAGTTTCTCATTCCCCTTGATGTCATCTCGCCTTGGTGATAAAAGACCGACCAAGGAAGCCTCAAACTTGCATTTGAGGGGGGTCAACTCTGCACCGGGGACTGAAATACAGTTAGGGGCAATGAAGTGGCGAGAGGAAGGATCAGGAGAGTAGCCATGGTCAGGCACAGTAGACTACCCCAGATTGCCAATCAGAGGAGATGGCCAGGGGATCCTGGTGTCAACCTCAGAGAGACGGGTGTTCTTTCCCGCTACCTTGGCATAATTAGGAGCACTCTACTTGCCTCGAAGAGGCTGAGTGCGAGCAACTGGAGCGCGGCAAGGGAGAGGAGGAGGAGGGGGCTTGGGGTACAAGGCATAGATTGATTGTTCAATGTTTTATGAAGCTAGTTTCAAGTTTCTAGTTTCTATCAGATAGTGGATACAGAATCTCTGATAGCTGATACTTTTGGAGTTAATGAATAAACTAAATACCTACTATTAAATATATCATCTCCATACATTTTTTTCTATTATTTAACCTATTTTTTTATATTTTTTAGAATATTTAATATTTATTGACCGAATCGCGGAGATGCACGTGCATCCGAAACGCATCGAGGCACATCACCGCATCGGCCCCCCCATCGCATACGGCCGCATCCTGCATTTTAAAACACTGTTTTAAATTTTCAAGTTCATGCCTCATGCAAATCAATTAAGCTTACCCAACTTCTTATCTCCTTAAGGGTGTGTACCAATCAACCTTGTCTAGACTTCGAGAGAGGAAAAATGGCAGATTCACTAAGATGGCCACCAAAGGTTTGCTATAAGTAGTTGCATAAACCCCTCCCTTCTTTTATTCCCTTCGAATTTACATACCTAGCCCTTTTCTTTGCAATAAAGCCCCCTCCATCTATAATTCCAAAAGACCTCCCATGAAGAAACCACACAACTGCCCCACCACCCCCCTTCTCCCTCCCTCTTCACGTATTCAGAGCGGATAAGATTGTGGTTGTATTCCAGAACTTGGTCACTGTGCTTTGAGAGTTTTCCCTATTCACAGAGAAAGGATCCTTGTTTTGGTGTTTCTTCAGCACCCTCCCTCCCTTCGTCTCTCTCTCTCTCTCTCTCTCTCTCTCTCTCTCTACACGACGTACGTATAGTACGTACGTACGTCTACTATCGTACGTTAGTTACGTTACGTTACGTTACGTTACGTTACTACGTACGTAACGTAACGTAACGT